TGAAATCATAGATAACAGAGTAAATGAAATCTAATATCTATGTAAAAATGGCCTTAGCATGACATGTGATCAAAGAAGCTTAAGTTTTTTCTTCTTACGAGTGACTTATGACGAGTAATATGGCACAATACTGCTGCCTAGATATATTTAAAAGAGTTGAGAGAGTCTGGCTAGTACTGCTAGCCCACTACATTTCTGCCTCAACCTTTCACAAAGTCGGATGGCCAGGATGAAGTTTGGAGCATAAGTCCAAGTCACTACCAAGTAAGAATTAAGAAATTGTAGGCATATAGAAGGTAGTAATCTACTGGAAAATGGTTTTGTCTATCTCGAGAGTGTCAGCTTAATCACTGTATTTTTTTTCACCCTTACTTATCAAGCTTCTTCTCCCTAGTGCTGCTCTTTAAACATTTTTGCCTGATAAATGAAGGCTTGGACTAGCTATGGAGAAAGATCTTTTATTTAAAAAGTTTTTAAAAATCTAATTAAAAGTTCATGGTGACAAACAACCAAAGTACATAATACCTGCCTATGCAGCAAGTCCGATGAAGAGCAAAATAATACTTACTGTAGAGTACATGCTATCAAATAATGTTTATTACATGCATAGTAACTCCTAATAAGGAAGTGGGTAATTGATAGCCCTAACCTGAGTAATCTGCCCTTTTGCTGATACCAGCACTATGGCTGAAGGAAGTGAGTTCTCTTTATAAAAGTGTATTTTTAGCACTGCACTCACTGTAGGTAAGGCTACAAAGGAAGTTTTCAAAAAAACACTACCAAAGCTTATTAACACACTTGGGAAGGAACCCCCTTTTACTATTGTCACTGCTTCTTTATATGCTAAAGGACTGATTACAGAACAAGAACTTGAAGCCATTAAGACCAAACAAGGTGTTGAAAGAGGTAGTGAAGTGGCTTTTAAGCTCACAGACAAGATAAAGGATAGTGATGATCCTACTGCCTGTCTACTTACCATATGCGAGATATTTGAATCTGATGACATAGATAATCATACATTGAAGAAACATGGAGCAAGCATGAGAAAGAGTATATCAAGTAAAATACACATTCTATTATGATCCTTTCTAAAGACTCTATTCTAATAGACAGCACAGCTGCTACTGTAACCGTTCAGTCTGACGAGAATGAATCTTTTGAGCATCTTGATGTGCAAAAAGAGTATCTCACACCGGAAAAGGAAGAGAAGATCAAAGCATTGCGTGATAGTGGAAGGCCTCTTACTATATTAGTGATTGGTCCAGTTGGTGTTGGTAAGTCAACACTTGTCAATGCTATGTTTGGGAAGGATGTAGCTGAAGTCGGACTTAGTGGAAGAGCCGTTACAACAGAAGTGCATCCTTATGAGGGAGAATACAATGGTGCTAAGATAAAAGTGTATGATACTGTGGGG